GGTAACCGCGTCGGTATGTGTCATCGGTAACCGTGCCGGTACATATGGATTAAATCTCGGGTCGCTGGCGCGTGCTAGTAGGAGGCAGCCGGAGGAGAACTACTTCTCCTCACGGCGCACGATATGGTGCTCCGCACTGTACATACAATACACACTTCCGTCTCTGCCGTCCCTGCGGAGTCCTCGCAGTTCACAGGAGCGGCCATGAACATTCGGGAACCCTGTATCAAAATATAAACACATAAAAAATATATTAAAAATATATGAAAAAAATGGCTGACACGCAAAAAAACATATATGAAAAAGATCGTACTTCTGGTAATAAGTGACAAATGTTAATAATGGTTTTATGACAACACTCTTTACAGAGTTTTTTTTTACAAATCAACTAAGGCTCGTATAGCTTAAAACTAACTGCGACATTTTGACAAATAGTAAGAGACGATACGCTGGATGTTTTGCGGTATAATTATATATCCGAATATATATTTATATTTTTAGGAGCATAAATTTTTACACATGATTATTCGAATTGAAATTTTTCGTGATTTTTCACATAGGGATGCAAGATTTGCATCACGTATATGAGTATATCGATTTTCCCTTCCCAATTAATTTAGAAATTATATTGCGAAAAAATTTTTTTTTTAACATTTAAGGTGGCGAATTCATGGGACGCTCTCCTTTCAGTACACAGATTTATATACCAGTGTATTGCAGAAATCTCTGTGTTTCAACGTTGCACATAGGCTGCGTTCGGGGAGCTATCAGCGTTATTGCGTCATTCTAACTTTGTTTTACATCTAATGAGCAATAAAGATGGAATACTGCAACTGCGCTGATAGCGCGCTCTTCGAACGCAGCTATAGTGACTTTGACTTGACGCTAGCGTCAAGAAAAAGAAGTTGAAAACTAAATTTGACGTTAAGCCTTTTTCATACATTTATTAAAATCCAGCGTCAACTTTGATCACGTGACGTATTTTGAAGCTAAAATGAGCGTCGAGCATCAAAATAAAAATATAACTGATATTGAGATACATATACAGCATGCATCTCTCCTTATGCTATGCGTTTAGAACAGCTGCAGACAGCTGGTTTCTTCTTTTAGTTGAAATCCTAATCGTTAATATTGTAGCATCAATTAATCTCTCGAATTTTTTTCGAGAGAATAATATTATGTTACGTATAGTTTCTCGCGCTATTGAATTTGTGAGAAGTTTCACACTTAGTCTAGTTTTGTCTTTATATTTTGTTTACATTTATTATCTTGTTATTAATTTATTTTACATTTATTGTTACATAACTTTCAGTGTAAAATATTAAAATTAGTTTTTTTATAAAGAATAATATTTAGAAATATAAAAATAAAAATAACGAAATATATAAATTTTATCGTATATAAGAAAATATAAATTATAAGTACAATTTATTATTATTATTTTTATTGAATAATATAAACTAAATATTAATAAGTCAGAAAGAAAATAAAACTGTAAGTTTATAATAGAACTATATTTTTTTATTTCCAGGAAATAATCATTAATCAAATGCTTTTTGTATTTTTAATGATGATTAAGTATTTGACAATTTTCTTGTCAATTACGCATAGAAATATATTATATGTTTATTTATATCGGAATAAAAATCTTTGAATCGTGAAACGCGGTGTATTACTGCACGTGCAAAGAACTGTCGTGACGTCATCAGTATCTACACTATCTACAAGTACTTTTCTTTGTCGGATCTTCTTCTCGGCCTGTCTGACTGTGAGTCGTGAGTTAGTCGTCGCCATATTCTCGTCAGCAGCAAGTGCGTGTTTTATATGATGTCAATATTAACAATCGAAGAGACAGATCGCGAAAAAAACGTCAGGTAAACACGTTTTCCTAGACACGCGTGAACACATGTGAATACATGCACGCATATATGTGTATCTATTTCGGTATTATAATAAACTTCCTGTATGGAAGCTACGTGTATACTCTCTTCACAAAAGCATCAAGCTGAACATAGGCGAACAGATCGCGTGCGGGGGCGGTGTGTAACATAGTGATGTTATCTGCGTGTGGAGGCAACGATATCTCATTTTGTTCTCGTAAAATATTTTACGTTTTATAGTATCTATATTTCTTTTTACGATTTTTCTTTTGCTTATTTGGTTGTAAGTTTTTATATATGTTTACTCGATAAGATATGTTGATGTAAATTTGTAAAATATATTAGTATCATATGTTTAGTATATTATGTGAAGATCCTCACTCATACATAATTAAAATAACAATTAGATTAAAAATAATGAAAAGATACGTCTATTTAATATTAAATATTTAAAAAATTTAATTTTTTTAGAGTTTTAAAACTATAAATTGTGTAAAAAATATATAGAAAACTTATACATGTACAAAAATTTGTAAGTTATACATTACAAGTTGATGTTTTTATTTTTAAAAGTTATACTATATAAAAATTAGTGTAGAAATAAACAATAAAAACTTTAGTAGTTTGATAAAATTTAATATATTTTTATACGTTGCGATAAAAAATATATATATTTGTAACTGACAAATTTTATAAAATATTTATTTACGCTTTTATTTTGTTTTTCTTTTTCAAAGCAACTTTCCTTATTAAAATCCAAGATCCAGATGCAATATGCATAGTATATTTTTCACATTTTTAAAATATTGAATATTAACTATTAAAAATTCGAGAAACAAAGATTTTGTTTACAAATTAATTGAAAGTTTTTTTTACAAAAAACAATTGTATTATAACTGATATTCTAAGATAAATTAATCGATGTAATCTGATCGCGACGCAAATACCTGTGTGGCTAATTTTTAGTAATGAAAAAGAGACATTATTTTATCCGAATTATCTCGACGTGTCCCAATGTCATTGTAAGTGCAAATTCATTTACATATAAATTCTCGCAAGTGTTTCAGAAATATGACAACTGCTTCGACAGAAATATGACATTCGCTTCAATGAGCTGTAAATCAAGTAATATACACTGAACTGTTTATCAGCGCAATTCCAGCAGCTTTCGCTTTGTAATTTATGCGCTATGACATGACCGATCAACCAATAAGTACAAGATGTGCTCATTGCTCCTTGTTCCTAATTAACGCCATTTAAGTATCATAAATGTCTGCTGTTAGACCAGCAGTTCGCAATACAGTGCGCTCGAATGTTTCATGATTTCGAGCATCAACAACAAGTTCAAGATGTTTTTATTGTTGTGTACAAGCATTTTATTGTTTACGGGCAATGCGGCAGATATAGCAGCTCGTCAGTGTAGAGATGAAAACAATAAGATTGTTGATTGGTTAGTACATTCGCATCGTATTATTTTTTTATATTATTCTTTTTATAATATTTTTTTATGTGATTTGTATTGTTTGATAAAATTTAATATAATTTGAACAATATAATTTAATATATTTATATATTTATATATTGTATATAATTTTATTACTTTTTACGATATTGCTCTTTCATTCTTTATAATTTCTGGTATTCAAAATATGTTCTTCTCTTTCTCAAATAATTGCTGCAACGCAATTTTAGGTATGTACTTTATAAATTACCGAAGATACAGCAGAGCAGTAATCCCGTGATTAGAAATGGATTAGCGTATCTTTACATGACTAATAATACTGTTGACAAAGGTTGGCAATTATCCGCCAAAGAAATCAGATCAAAGAATTCGACACCAGGAAATACACTGGCATCTTTGTACAATGATGTAAGAGAGAATAAAATGTAACATATAAATTATATTGTATATATTATATTTATGCAACAGATATTTTATTCTCGGATATTGTTTTTAAAACACAACTTCCAATTTTCTTGAATGTTAAAAAAATTATATTTTTTGATTGTGGTTTTTAAGTTAATGGTTTAAATTTATGTCATTTTTTTCTTTGAAAATGAAGAGAATTTATTTTCAGTCAGAGGCATCAAAAACCTTCTGGATCATGTATAACGACGATCCACCAAACAGACCTATCAATGGAAAATACGGCCATGCAAAAGGCGTTATGATGGCAAACGAAAAACAAGGTTTCTGGTTAATACATAGTGTTCCCAATTATCCGCCCGTGCCCAACAGTGGCAATGATACGAGACGAGTACGCATAAAATTTTTTATTAATAAAATAAATTTTGTTTAAAACAAATATTTTTACAGAATTTTTTAATTTTTACTCAAAAGAGCGGGCTCTCTCTCTTTCTTTCTCTTTCTCTTTCTCTTCTTTGTCTTTTTTTTTCATTTTTTAAGATGTTTGTTAATAATTATTAACTATTCAAAAAAAGAGAGAGTAAAGATATATTTGCTCCATTAATCAGAATAGTTAATGAGTTTAGTTTCTAGATGTGATCTTATGTGATATATATATATAATATAAACATATCTTTAATTAAAATAACAAATAAACAAATCTTTAACTAAAATCTGTAGGGGCAAAACATGAACGAGTTTTCAGGTAATCGATCTGAATACGATTATCCATCATCCGGCGAGAATTACGGACAAAGTTTTTTGTGCATATCCGTGAATGCCGATCAGTTTGATTTGATCGGTCAACAGTTTATGTATAATCAGATAATAATATTCCGAAAAAATATTCTTGATACCTTTGTCAAGAAGTTTCCGGTGCTCACGGATGCAGCCAATCAAAAGCGTATCAGAAAAGCGCCCTTCACCAGCAAAGTATGGTTAAAGTCATCTAATAATGTTACATTTGTATCATTTGCCAAGAGCGACAAGTGGCAAAAAGGTAAATTTTCTGTATATACTGATATATTTTTTATATAAAATAATAATTTACAAAAAGATATTCAATATTCCTTTAAGTACAGTTTAACATATTCTTGCAAACAACATATAATTAATAATTTCTCACATACTTCTAGAATAAAATAAATAAATAATTCTGTTTTGATTAAACTACTAGATTTATACGATGAGTTTGTTGCACCAATATTGCAATCCGATTTATTTGCGGAAACATGGTTGAACGGACGAGGTAGACTACCATCGGATTGTGTGCGCATAAAGTAAACATCGCGAATTTTTGATTTTATTGTTGTGTTCAGTAAATTGTAATTGAAATTTATGTTATTTAATTGACTTATTCATCTGTTTTTTGCTTATAGAGTGTACAATGTTATGTCCATTTATTTGAAAGAAGTTGATATCAATTTTAAAAGCAGTCGCGATCATTCTAAATGGGCGGTGACAGTCGACAACAAAGCTAACAAAACATGGACTTGCGTTGGAGATATCAACCGAGCGGTAAGAGTATAAAATTTTATATCTAGAAATATCTCGCGTTACGCCTGTGTTTCTTTCTGTTACAAAATAAAACAGGATTAGAAACATAAGTAATTTTATAAAGAAAATAAAGCAAATTACTAGATAGAGAATTAAAAGAAAAAAAACTCTAAATAAACTCTATATGTAGGGGAGACCGGGGCTAGTTGTCACACGGGGTTGGTTGTCAAATTGCTATTATCTTGCTTACTAAATCTAGAAAAATATTCTTTTTTATATTGTAAGTTGCTATTATTATTAAAAAAGCATATTCTGTAATACAATTTCGTTATTTTTAAGGATACTCAATACATACGAGGCGGTGGAACAGTTTGTTTTAATCACCAGAAAGTTTGGAAAAATTACCGTAATGCTGTTAATGACGTAGAACCATGTCCTAGAAGCAATCCTAGAGCAATTTTGGTTTAAAGCATTTTGTAATTTTAAAAATAAAAGTTATAGGACATTATAGTGCAATAATTTTCTCATCTATATATATTGATTTTATTATTAATATAAAAATAATAAATGAAAAACAGAAATGTTCTTGACATAGTGTATAAAATAGTTACCGTTTGTATTTTTTCCATACAATCAATTATATTGAAATGTAAAATATAAATACGCGATTATACATATAAAAAAGCACTTCGTATATTAAATTGATTTTTAAAATGTTATCGAAAAGGATAGAAGAGAGATATTTAGCGGATATTCTTGAAATATATCCGCTAAATTACCGACACGGTAAATGTGCTGTCGCGATACTGAATTGCTGTTCTTTTCACGAGAGGTCTCATATGTAATTGTTTACGTGCATAGAGATAAGAATAAATGAACAGAGTCCATTGCCGTAAAGCCTCTTGCACAATGGAAGGAATAGCGATAGCGATAGAAATATAACTCCAGTTTTAAAGAGTTTATATTTATAAATAACGGTAAGGGAACAACGGAATTTAACATACAAAAATACACATGTATCAATGCAGATCAGAAAACGAAATAAGCGATAAAATAATAGCGATAAAATTTCCTACGAGTTGGAATTCTGTGTCTATTGCTTATCGCTATCACTGTTCCCTCGCATTGCGCAAAGGGCTTGAGTACTGCCCGGTAAAAAATTTTTCATGTATAAAATTGTATGGACATATTCGGTACATAAAATTGCATAATTAGATATAATTATTTTAATTTGTGTATAAGTATATATAAAAAATTTTTTACCGGGTGCCATATGTACTAAATCGAATGCAATATAAATTTTCAAACTCTGACGAAAAATTTTTTAACGAGAATTATTATAAGAATGTTTTTGTTGTTACTAAAATAAAAGAACATTATTAACAATTTTTTTATATTGTAGAAAAGAGAAAATCTTCTTTTCTACAAAACAAAAATCGAACTCTTTTAAAAACTCATAGGAAGCTATTGAACTCGTTGAAGTTATCAAAAAAAAATTTTAATTTTATCAATTACATTAAGAAATTCTGAAAACGGAGCACTAATTTCATAGAGGCAAAAGATTTGTACAAGATCAGCCTTTTGCAGAATTATACAGAATACATATATGTATATATGTATATATATATACATAAATATACATATGTACTTATATTATCTGTACGCGTACATACGTTCGTCGACGCAGAGAAAGATACATGTATCGCGGTAGATAGTCCTGTGCGAAGTTTAATATTGCCTTATACGTATTCATACTGTGTGCGAGAGGATCCGAGTCCTTTTAAGTGGAAATGAGCTTATGTCGTGTTCGCAAATGTAAACGGGATATGCGAACTACGATAGAAAATTGCGAATAACTTGACAGATTGGAAAGCTGTGTAAACACAGGTAACGTGTATGAACAACGTTGCTTATCGTAACTCACATTTGTTTGTCGTTAATTTTGAAATATTACAAACGCAACAATAAATTTTGTTTCGAGTAATTTCACATTTTCGCACAAAGATATTCGTTTCACTGAATATCTTTTGTGCGAAAAATCTTGTGTCATCCGCAAGAATTAAATTTTACCAAAAATAATAAGTTTTTTTTACAAAAAAAATAAAAAAAAATTGCTAAAAGTTCTGGAATAAAAATTTTAATGATGATAATTTAATAACGATATTAAATAACAATGAGATCCAATTTGATAATGATAGAATTTTCAGTTAAAATTAAAAATCTCGAATCTAGAGATAATATCTTTCCTTTTACACGTTCAGAAAATCAGGTTTCACTATCTTGTTATTATCACAAAACAACGTCGCGGAACGATATCACGTTGCGCGTAAACGAAACGAGATCGAGCGATGTCAGAAATTACATCGCGCACGATGCGACACATCTAACTTTTTGTCTGATCTCTTTCAAGACGAACACGTTTCCAAACAGATGAATGTTCATTATGTAAATTATATGCAACGCGAATATGTACGCAGGGAGAAGAAGATTGAAGTTATCAGGGCTGCATTTCCTTCTCGTGTGTTCAGAACAAGTTCATGTGTGCGTGCGGCCCGTTATGACGCATTATAGCGCCTCGGCGCCAACTTTAATACAACCTTATACGTATTCATGCCGCACCATGTCGACGTTTGCAGAGCAACTCTTCGTCCGGTTTTCGTTAACGGATAAAGTGAACTGCCAAACTTACGGCCTCGTCATCCCCGTACATCTATTTTCGCGTAAAACTCATTATTGTTGATATTTCATATATGGGTGATTCTCTGTGAACGCGTAAATTTCAACTTTCAGTTTTGATAAAAAATAATTATTATTAACTAACGGATAGCGGTGAATTATGTTTTTTCATACCATTTTAAGTCACCATTCCTAATATGAATACGTGACTATGCAATATAAAAAACTTATCTATGTTTTTTATGTCAATATACCACGGAGATTACAGTCCACGGAGATTACGTTTTTTGAGAATTACCTATATACGAGCGAACAAGTAAATGAGAATTTTCTATAGATATCGTCTCAGAATAAATTTTCATATCATAGTTAAGTGTGTTTTTTTCAATATATGAAGAGTATATATAAACATTAGATATGTGAAATAAAAAAAAAAAAAATTTCATGCAAAAAAGAAAGACACAAAAACTTGATCTGAAAATATGTCTAATAGAAATATATGTCTAATCATTTATTTTCTTACACCAATATTTTTTTTTGTATCAATAACTCTCTTTGAAAAGTCATTAATCGAAAATAATTACAGTAAAGATGATAATGAATCCTCAGATCGAAAATTTCAAGATCGAAAGTGACGTTGAGTGCACTCTCGACATATTCTCTCGGATGAAATTACGTAAACGGAATAGTACTCTTGACTCTTCAAAGTTTGATATTCATACCGCACTGAATAACGCTCTAATCGAGCCTTTGCGTCGTGCCTCGTGGTGCTTCGAGTCAGCGGCGAAATCCAACGACGACGACAAAATCGTCCCATGTGCACGCCATCGTCGTAGACGTCCAAAGGCAACTTTCGCGAGCGAGACGCAAAGGCGGAGCTTCGATTAACAGCGAAGACTATCACCGCGAGCAAGTTTAAGACTGAGTTTAGTTAATCTCAGATTACGTGAAAGAGGACAGAAAGATATATATATATATATATATATACACATACACAAGGAATCTCTTTACGAGGATTAGAATGATTCTCTCAACGATTTCGTTTCTCGTTGTTCTACGAAACTGTCGCCAGAGTACGTAAAATACGTAGTAAATTGTGTGACATGTATATAATTAACAAAAAACATGTATTACCGTATATTAATGTGTTGTATATGAATACATATATGTGCGTATGTATATACAGTGTTCCTTAATAATTTATTAACAATTAAAAATAAGATACAGTCGAAACTCGATACCTCGAATCTCGAAGGAAGAACTAAAATCTTCGAGTTGTAGAGATTTCGACTCTTATCGAATTTGTTTTCTTTTCCGCGGAGCGAAATGAACAAAATTTTCGTCTTATAGAGGTTTTCGAGTTGTAAAGGTTCGAGTTTTATCGAGGTTTGACTGTATATAAGTTTTGCACGTGAAATCTCTCATCTGATGTATCATCTCTGTCTTGCCATTATCCAAATACCAAAATTGTAGCAGGCACAGATTAATCTCGCTGTCTTGTTGAGAAGAGAAAGAGATACAAACAGAATTTGCCGATGCTATTCTCAAAATAAATACCGACGCTAACGAGATTACACGGCTGATGACGCGGTCGGAAGCGAATTGAAAGTTTTCGTACGTAGCGGCAAGGATTCGTTCACGCAATGTGCACAGTAATTAACTCGGTTTGAGCCAAGATAATCGCGACGACAAATTCTGCGACCAGTTATCATCTCAAAACCAATTACGTTGAGTTCAATCAACTAGTGACTTGTCTGTGCATTTCTCTACCGATTTTTTAAGTTTTCTTTCTTAAAAAACGCTATAAAAGATGGTGGTAATAAAAGAAATTTAAAATTTGTTCTGTGAAAATTTTTTCCCCCAAAAGGGAATATTATATAGTACATATGAAAACATCGTACCAATCGTTTGATTGATGTAAACAAATTGTGATTATTGCGTAATAAAATACAAAAAGATACAACAAGTAATAATAAATTCATAAAATTTAATACCTGTCAGATATATCGTAAATTCGTATTTCAAAAAAAGATCTTATATTATAAAGCGATTTTGAGACAGTTCGTCGTATATGTAGAGAAAATTAAAAACGTAACTAAAGTTACGTGACAAGAAAATTAACACGTGAAAATAACGTGACTGTAATTTATATTATATATAACATTAAATAATACATATTATACATATAATTTATTATATATATTATAATATTATATTTTATATTGTATTATATGTATTATATACATACTACAGTAATGTCACTGACCTCGGCCGCACGGGCTTGGCGGGGTCATTGACCTCGGCCGCGCGGCCTTGGCGGGG